CATCCTAGTGGGTGTGAAGTGGTATCTCATTGTGGTTTTGATTTGCATTTCCCTGATGACTAATGACATTGAACATATTTTTATGCACTTGTTGGCCATTTGTATATCTTCTTTGGAGAAACATATATTGTTGTTTCTACTTTTGAATATGTTTTAAATTCTCCACAGTAAAAGAGATACAAAATATTAGATATTTTATTTAAAACTTTAAGAAACAGGTTTTTTTTTTCATCTGAGAAGAGAGTGGTTTTTCCCTCCTTTTTCCCCCCTGCTTGAATTCCCCTGAGACCCTTGCATAATTCCCACCCCCGCATCCCCATCCGCAATTCGGTTTCAAAAAAACATATTTGCTCTTCAAACAAATAAGCACAAGTTTCTTCCCTTTTGCCTCCTCAAAAGTGGGTGCAGGCGTGGGAGAACAGGGCCAGGACTTAGGGTGAGCAGAGGCTGGCTGCCCTACTTCCTTTGGTCCTAGCCTGAGGCTGGTCCCCCTACCCAGCAGCCTTGTGACACCCTCATGTCCCACCTCCACATTTTTGCTGAGAATCCCCAGGGAAGGGAGGGCCCCATCTATAGTGGAAGAAACCTTCTGGGCCCAAATCCAGCCACATCACAAGACTGGATGGCCCAGCCGCGAGACGAGCATGTCAGTGGCTTCCATGGCCAATGGGAGAGGCTTCACCCGGCTCATGTTCTGCTGTGGTTGTCGGGCCAAACAGATGGCTGGGGATAAACAGGGGGTGGTGCTGGGTGGGGTGTGTGTTGGGGTGGCTTTGAATGGCCTCAGCCTCCCTCTGGATCCTAGGGAAAGAGGCGAGTGAGGTGAAGGCAGTGCCTGAGGAAGGGGCTATCATTTGTGGCCTTCAAAACTTGTTTGTGATGTCTTTTCAGCAATAAAACTCTTGTTCAAACAAACTATTACAGCAGTAAGACAGAAAAAGGAAGCTGTTCCTGCCGATGAAGGGTGAGAAACCTGGAGCCTTCCCTCCCTGCACACCACGTGGCAGATACCTCAGGGAAAGCTGGGTCTCAGGAGAACACACGGATCCCGTTAACACACAGTCTTCCTATGAAACCATGTGGGAACTCAACACGTGCTGTCTCCTCTCTAACCTGAGATCCTGACCCGTTCCACAAAGCGAGGCAGTCTCTTGTATACCCCTCACCAGCCAAGTACTGGGATGGTGGCCAAAGGGGAGAGACAGGCCAGGGTGTGGGTGGGCCAAAGAAATCTGAGAGGGACAGGAGCTGTGGTGGCCCGGTCTCTAAGCCTGCAGAGGCTCCCTTCCAGAGAGAGAGCTTGGAACTCAGTCTCTGCCTCCCTCCTTCTCTCCCTCCCTCCAGCAGAACTGCCCTGCCCCAGGTGGTTCACACCTTGCTAGTCCCCTAGGCTTATACCTTTCCTAACCTTAGGAGAGACATGAGAAAAGGAATCTCTCCCCTTCCCCAGAAAATCCTTTTTTTTTTTTTTTTTTTTGAGACAGGATCTTTCTCTGTCACCCTGGCTAGAGCGCAGTGGCACAATCATGCTCACTGCAACTCGGCCTCCTGGGCTCAAGTGATCCTTCCACCTCAGCCTCCCAAGTAGCTGGGACTACAGGCATGCACCACCACACCTGGCTAATTTTTGTATTTTTTGTAGAGATGGGATTTTGCCATGTTGCCCAGGCTGGTCTCAAACTCCCAGTCTCAAGTGATCCTCCCACCTAGGCCTCTCAAAGTGCTGGGATTACAGGCATGAGCCACCGTGCCTGGCCCACAATACTTTGATATAGTTTCTTCAAGCCCAGATTCTGGTTCTTAGCACAGTCAACCTATGGAGTGCCTCCCCTGCCCCCCCCATATTCCGTGATAGTCATGCTGGGTTAGTTTCTCTAACCAGAGGATGGGCCCATTCTTCGCTGTGGGATGGTGTGTGGGGACATTGGTAAGGAACAAATAAAGGCTTGGGCAAATAACTTTATTATGAGGTTGGTTATCTCATCCACAGGCTGAGCATGATGCTCAGCACCGACTCCGCAGGGCTATTTGGAGGATTAAATGAGATAATGTGTATCAAAGCCCAACATCACAGGAGCTCCGTGTAGAAGCAGTTCCATACCAGAAAATGGAATGGCTTTGTCCCTTACATGTTGTGTCACCTCAGATAAGGCATTTCCGCTCTTTGAACTCCAGTTTTCTCATCTGTAAAATGAGCATGTTTAAAAATTTTTTACTTAAAAAAAGAGGCATATTAATATCTACCCTTCACAGTTGCTGTAAGTAGAGGCGATTCACATGAAGTGGTTAATACCTGGCACAAAGAAAGTACTCAAAACAGGATAGTAATAATTGTAATTATTACTACTTTTACTACTATTAACTTCATTAGAAGGGCAGTGTGGTCTTATAGTTAAGCAAACTTTGCAGCCAAATTTCCTAGGTTTAAATTACAATTCATCACTGGAGCTGTGTCACTTTAAGCAAATTACTTACCCTTTCTGTGCCTACAGTTCATTAACTGTATACTAATTTACCTATTTCATGGACTTGCTGTGATAATTAAGTTATTGTATGTAGAGCACTTTGCAGAGTGCCTAGCAAATAGTAAATGCTACAAACACATTTGCTGTAATTTTTATTAGTAATAAATATCCATATTTGTATTATTATAGTCATTAACAACTCGACTCTGTGAAAGCCTTCTCCTTGGATCCAATTAGGAGATCTACAGACCAACAGATCCACCATCCTACAAAACGTTTAGCCCCCTCAGAAGCTGTGTGACCCTGGGCTAGTTACTTCTCCTCTCTGAGCCTGCTTTTATTTATCTACAAAATGTGAATTGTAATAGTACCCATAATGATACTTCTAGGTTGTTTGACGTGCATTAGTGAGCGATGACCCGTGGGAAGTTTCTAGCTTCTAGTTAATTAAGCCCTGGTCCCCGTGCTCTGCCTAAATCCAGCTCCCTACCCCACCCAGCCCTCCCTCCCACCCCTGACGGGGAGCGCTCGAGTTCCCTCCTGCTGGGCGCGAGGGAAGGGGGGGCGTCCTGCGCCCGCTGCCAGGCCCTATTTCTGGGGGCCGAGCGATCCCGAGGCCTTGCCAAGCTTCCCCGGGGATCAGGTTTCTGCTGACGCGGTGCCAGGCACGTCTGCTTCCAGGAACCGGCAGCCGCTTTTAGCCGCGGGCCGCACATGAAAGGGCTGCAGTCGGAAACGTGACGTTGTGTCAACAGGCGAGGCAGGTCAGCGCTGGGTGAGACCATCCCGGCAGGCCCGGCGGATCACGCCCTGTCTGAAGGCGGCCAGATCCCCAGCCTCCGCTCCCCTGCCTCCTGCCACCTCTTCTTGGCCCCGGGGCCAGCGCTTCGCCCCCTGAAACTCACACACCCCGCTTTTTAAACAGAAGTCCTCTTTGTCCGCAGTGGGCATTAGGCTGGGGTGCACGCCCCTCCCCCGCACCTCCCTCTGAGCGCACTTGGATGCCGCTAAAACTGGGCTAGAGGAAAGGTTAAGGGCGAACTGGAAGCAGAAAATGAAGTGGAGGGACAGCTGCAACTTTAGGGGCTATTTGACAGGGGCAGGTTCCCATAGGGGGATTCTGGGTTGACTGCGTGGAACCCTCAAATATCTTTTTGTAGTTCAGGTTGCTCCAACCACTTCCTCCTTTCCCCATAGCTACTCCTCCCGCAGTGGCCTAGGAAAAAGAGAGGGTCATGCAAAAAGAGTTTGGTCTTGATTTCAACCCCCGGCTGTATCACCAGGATAAGTTTGATTTGTTGGGCTTTTTCCAAAAAAGTCTAGCTAGAGAGGTCTGGCAACTCATGGAGCAATTGAGGTGTTTCACAGGCATGAGACCTGGAAGCCCAGGCGCTGAGCTGGGAGAAAGGGTGGCACACAGAATTTGCCATCTGCCTGCTACAGGACTTGCGGGAAGGGCTCGGAATTCTTCTTTTATCGAGTCAAAAGCAGGCGTGGAGAGGGAGGTGATAGACCACCAGCTATCGATGCCAGGTTTCCAACTCCTGGTCCCGGCTCCTTGCACAACAGCCTGTGTGGCCTGGGGACAGTTATGTGCATTCCGTATGCATCTAGCACAAGCAGAAAATGCTCACTTTCACCTGCGGGCCCGTGAGGAGACAGGGAAGGTGACATGTGAAGCAGTCTTCATGGTCAGCTGGAGCCTCTGCCTGACTGAGAAATCCCTAGGGGCAGCTTCCCCGCTGTGCTCCACACAACCAGGGGGTTCTGGCAGCTTTGGGAGCTGGAGCCTGTTGAGTCAGGCGCTGGCCATCAGGAAACATCAGGATACCCCTGAGAGGGAGTATCCCACAGGAATGTTGCAAATCAAGGCAAAGGAGAGAGGCAAAAATACACGACTGGGTCATTTCCCACCTTTCCCATGGAATTTTTTTTTTTTTTTTTTCAATAAGAGCACTTGTCTAAGGAACACCCAATATTCATTCACGCACAAACACACCGGAGAGGAAATCCAGGAAGGATGTAGAAAATAATTATGGAATGTTGCCTCCAGCAGGAATAAGACAGGATATGGCAAATCCATTAGACCTTCATAGATTTGAAAAAGCTAGACTGCTTTGGCAAAGAGGTGCTATCCCAGCATCAATTAGTATTGCATAATAATCCAGTAAATCTTTTCTCAATGTGCCTCTCCCTCCAGCAGGCTCCCCAGACTCTGCAGCCCACGGTATCATACCTTGGTTTTCTGTCAAGTTCCAAGGACCACGATGAAAGCAGGCGGGGGAAAATATGCTTTTTACTTAACTCTGGAGAGGTAGAGGATGATCGTGTACCCCTGGCAAGGGTTAAAAAAAAAATTAAACCAATATTTACCTGCCAAGTTGACTAAGCTTATTCTGATTGAATACAAAGCACATGAAAAGCTGAATGAAATTACACTGAGATTAACTGGTTTGCTTAAGCCAAGAAGGAAGGACATGGGAGTCAGCCATATCACACCAATTGAGTTATTTAAAAAAAATTCAGGAGACCATCTTTCTCTTCCACAGGAAAAGAATTATTTTATTAAGTATTTTAAAACAACTACTTAACATTTACTCATAGATAAAAATATTTACAATTTTACACCTTCAGGAAGGCTCCAAAATATAAACACTGTACCTCTCCCTAGAGAAAAAAAAAATTATTCTTCTCTTCAAAAACAGGAATACATTCATTTTTTTTCTCACTGTGTGAATCAAGTAATTATACAAATAAACATCTGAAACATTTTCCTTTTTTAATATATTTATATAATATATATTTATAACAGCTTTACAAATAAAGGCAACGACTTAATACCGAAATAAAAACAGGAAAAGAAAAAGTTAAAACACGATCAGCAATCAGGCATAGTGCATTTTGAAAAGCTGCTGCGGGGCTAGTTGGACACATTGGGAAAACAAGTACTCTGGACCAAAAATAAAACTTCTTTGAAGGAGACAGAATCCTTTTTAGCAATAAGGACACTCCATATGCCGTTGGGCAAGAGGAATTAGCCTACAGAAAGGATCTGGCGGTGCCAAGGCTTGGTTAGGCCTTTGAGAAGCTAAGCTTGGTTAAAAGGAGTTTTAGGATGGAACTGAAAACTGAGTCTAGTTCTGTTTGAAGGCAGCAGTTTGTTACTCAGCTTTGTGCACTTTGGGGTGCTCGCTCGGGGTGTCTGTGTCTCTCAGACCTTGGTTTGGATCCCTGAACAGTAAGTACTAATGGTTAGACCTAGAAACAGGTGCCAGAAGCCCAGGGAACTCCTCCCTCCCTCCCTCCTGGGCAGCTCAGCTTGTACAAGGGGGCCACTTTCAGTTCCTTAGTAAGCTAATCACTACGAAAGCCTGAGTAGGGAACTACATTCTCTTTATTCCTCCGAGGCAGGGGTGGGGAGCAGACCTGCAGAAACCTCCCCAAACCACTACCGTGCTATGCCAGTGCCTGCTACCTCACCATGTTAGCAGAAAGCTCGGTCTGACTGCTCTCTCCCCGTCGTCTGGTGAGTCACGTCGACAATAAAGGGAAAAGGGTGGGGTCCTAACAGCTGGTTGGGAGCTGAGCCCTGGAAAGCCCTCTTTTGAAAGTACCTTCTGCTCAAAGCCACAGACCCAGCTCCCAAACTGAAGAGTGACTCACAGACCAAGACTTTGAAGCTTTTGAAAATCCAGCTGATGTGTATCAAAGGGGGCTATTCTCTGGGTGGGGAAAAGCCCAGAAGTCTGCTACAATCCCCCCAAGTCTCCTGATGTCAAGCAATCCTTAGTGACTTCCCTATGCCAAAAGAAGCTTTAAAGTCCTAGACCAACAGGCAGGCACACATGTGCACGCAGGCGCACGCGCACGTACACACATACACACATACATACACACACACACACACACACACACCCCCTGAATCTTCTCTCCATGCCTCAGATTATCTCAGTATACACAATGCAACAATCTTGCAGCATTCACAAAAACTTTTTTGTTGTTTTTTAGGAAGTAGCGAGGAAGGAAAGCAAAGCAGCAGGATCCCCTAGAGTTTAGTCTTTGGTTTCTAAGTTTAAAGGGGGGATCGGCTTCAGGGCTTGGAGCAAGACAGAAGAGTCGACGGACGGATGAGCTGGCAAGGGAGAAGGGAGTCTCTGGGGCATGAGCAAGGGAGCCGAGATCTTGTCTGGGTTCATGAAGCTAGAGAGGGCTGCGGCAGAGGCGTTGAGGCCTGGGTATAGCACTGGCACCGAGGTGGGATACCAGCACTTCTCCAGCATGGGCAGGTAGGCAGTCGCTGAAGGTGGGATCAGGTAGAAGGGCAGGCAGAAAGGAGGCTGGTGTGGGTGTGGGCCCAGGAACGGGGAGCTGATCAGGTCACTGCTAGTGAAATGGCCTTCATCATCCGAAAGCTGCATCCGGTTCTTTTTTGTGGGGGGTTCTTCGGATTCTTGCTTAATTGCGCCGATCCTTTCTCCCATGGTGAACCTGCGTCCGTGGTCACTTTTGAAGCATGGCTGGTCACTGCGCAAGTCGCCCTTCTCCGATTCTCCTCCGTAGCCACTGTCTGTGTCCGTGTCGCTGCCGCTCTGCTCCCCACTCGAGTGAGCGAAAGTCCGCTGGATGACTGGCACGCAGTTTTTCCCAGGACCTTCCGAGCCTTTGGCTGGAGAGCTGGGTTTTTCCTTGAAGTCCATCACTTTGGGAGCTGGGTCCGATGGCTTCCTGGAGGTACCACCCTGCAGCAGCTCTGAGACCACCCGGTGGAGGTGGGTGACAAGCTGCGAAGACTTCAGGTCCCGAGTGTTCTCGTGCTTGGCCAGGTACTGAAGCACCTCCCGGGCACAAGTCTGGAAACCTGAGCAGAACATCTCTTGACCTGTTTCAACATTTCTCCCTGACAGCTCACCTAGGGAAACAAAAATCCAAAGGAAAATGTTTCAGAAGGCCCTGTGGATCACCTGGATACCTATGCGCCAAAAAACCAGGTGCTTTCATTTTTGTTAAAAAAAGAAATCGCATTTACTGATTTGTGTTCCTAACTCCAAAAGTAGTATGCTCAGAGAAGAATTACACTGAAAAGTATAAATAATTAAATTAAAATAATCCATATACTAACACTCAGATAAAATACGATTTTTAATGTTTGCATAATATCCTATCATGGAAATGGACCATAATTAATAGAGATGAGCTGCTTCCCCTCTTTTGGAATGTATAGGTGGTTTGTGAGTTTTCCATGTAAGTGAAGCAGCAAAGAACATTCTGATGTATTCATAAACCTGAGTCAATGCATACAACATTGCACCGTGGCAAAATGGGCAGACGCCAGATAGTTATAAAATGAGGAAAAGATTGAAGCAACAATAATCACCTAAAGTAAACTTATTTTCAATGACTTGTAAAAGTTGCAGTCATGCTGTGATCTTTAATTAGGCTCTCTATTTCTATATCTTTTCCACATATTCTATCCATGATCCTCAAGACATTAGGTATGACCATCTTCCTATTTTTAATGAGGAAACTGGCAGAAGCATTTGCTGGGTTTTTGCAATTTTCATCATACGAGCCTTGGAGAGGAAGGCAGAGAATGAAATGAGGGAGTGGGTAGAATAATTCTCCCCAGTCAGTACAGTATTATTTGGAAGAAGTGAGACTAGAAGGTTAGGTGACTCCGATTATCTGGAAGTCTGTTGAAACGAATGATGAAACTTCAGTGGTTTCGCTAGATTGTGCAATTCACCAAGATACCTAGTGGCTATTCAGGGAACCACATGAAATGCAGGAAAAACTCCTGCTGTATCCTGCCAGGATCACACCACACACCAAGTGACAAGGAAGCAAAGAAACAGGAAAACACTGGGGCATACCCACGATTTCTTCTCCAATGAAAGAGGGCTAAGAAGACCAACTGTAAAACACCCACAAGGCAAATTATAGGTGCCTTGGCATTTTAAAAGGGAGTAGGGAAATCTCCCAGAACCCAGAGACTCTCAAGCTAAAATGCCACAGGAATATCTTATCATTTCACTAATACGTATTCATGCCAGGTGGCACACTGCATTTCAAATGAAAAGTCTGACCTTTTAGGAAAGATAAAACTGCATCTCCCCCAATGAAGGTGCATAAGCAATTTGTTGCAGTAATGTTTATTCCATCAGATGTTGAGCCCACAGGCTCTCTATTTGTGCTCAAACTCTTAAAGAGAGGAGAGCCAGAATCAGCACTCACCAGCTTGTAAACCGCTCTGCAGGGCAATGATTTTCTGCTGCTGCTGATCAATTAGGTTTGTTAGTGCTTTCACATGCTTCAAGGTAAGTTCAAGAACCACTGCTTTTTCCAAGTGACCCAAAGTCTAGAAGGAAAAGAGCCTTAGTCAGCGGTGAGGTCAAAGAAGTCCCACCTTTGGGACATTTCTTAGCAAAGAGAAATGTCTCTAAAAGAAAAAAAAAAAGTGGATAGTCTGTCTTCGTTGGCTGTTCCAACACACATATATATAAAATATATATGATTAAATAATTTAAAAAAGGGTGCCATCTCTCTTTGGAGGCATTTTGGAAGCTGCAGCTACCTCAAGAAAACGCTTTGACAGATAAATTTCTCCAGCAGCCTCTGCTGACCTTAACTCAGGGGAATCCAGAGATAACATTTTTCTGCAGGGGTGTCAACTCAGAGAGGGACCTCTATTATGTCTGGCAGCCAATAGGCTTTCCCTACTTCTTTCCTTACACCCTTTCAGAACTTCCAGCTCATTCAGGCTTTTTTGTTCCTCCCGAAATACTTTTTTTTTTTTTTCCATTTCCCCAACCAAAGGCTGCCAAGTAGCTGAGGGCTACTGTCAAGAAAGGACAGGCCGTAAAAATCACACACCAAAGCAAGTCCACTTATTTAACAACAACAAAAAAGGTGGGGGGAGTGGTGGAGGGAAAGGGGTAAATGTGTGTGTTGCTTGGCGTGTTCCTTTAAGTTAGAAAAACTAGGGAATCCTGAAAATCACCAGAAGTTAAACTCTTGAAAAGGAAGGCCAGTTGGTGTTGGAGCCAACTTGGAGAGGTCCAAGTGGTTCTCGCCTCATTTGCATGAGTCAGCCAGAAAACGCCAGGACTGTGGAGGAGGACCCCACCACAGAGCCACCCGCCAGCTCTGATCCGCCCGTCTGGTCTGCAGTTCCCCGCGGAACCTGCAGGCGGCGAGTGACCCCCGCCCGCCCTCTGGGCAAAGGACTGGGTTGGAAAGGGGCCAGCTTCTCACTTACTGTAAGTTTGAGATGTTCTGGTAGGAGATCCTTCAGCTGGGCGATGCACTCGTTAATCCGGTCACGTCTCTTTTTCTCGATGAGCCGGTGCGGCAATTTGTAGGTCTCCTGCAAGACGCACGGGGAGGCGGTGGGCGCTTGGGGAAGGAGATGAGAAGCCTATCCTCCCAGCCCCGCAGCACGAGTCCAGCAGAGGAGCAGAATAGCACCCAGAACCATCATCTGCCCCTTCTTTTCCAAGTCACTCAGAAGAGGCACCGAGCCCACACCCTGCATCCCCTCGCCAACCTCAAAGCGAGAAAACTTTTCTTGGAAACTCAGCGCGCGCGAGGGGCTGAGCGCAGGGTCCCCAGGGGTGCACTTGCTTACCTTGCTGTCCTCGCTCCGCTTTATTCCCCGTCTTGACTTGTACACTTGGTACATGTGGGCAAAATCCATCCTGCAGGAAGAGAGACCAGGAAGGGTCGTGACTGCTTGCGCACGGCTGCAGGCGTTCTGCCGGGCAAGAACCCCCCGGTGCGCCCGGAGCTGCTCCAAGTTGAGAGTGGAGCATAACATGGGGCTGGAGTTGAGGCTTGAAGGGCCAAGGAGTGCCAACTTACCCTGGTAGGTCTCCGTGCTCCAGTCCCGGTGCTTTGGGCAGGCAGGCGGGGGGTGGTTGCGCGCTGGGGATCCGCTCCATGGTGCGGCGAGCCGGGGCCACTGCGCGCTCCTGTCTGCTCTAGCGGAGCGTCTGGATGAGGACGGTCCTGGAGCGGGCTTCGGGGGTCTCTCCGCAGATGTTCCTCTGAGTATGAGCTCTTTGAAATCTCCTGGGCTGCTGGAATCTTCGGCTTTGAGATGCAGCTTCAGTTGGGGGCGTGCATGGCCCGGTGTCCCCGCGGCCTCTGGCTCCAACTCAGCGCACAGACTGGCGGTGTGTGCTCCCTGCGCGGTCTGCGCCGTGCGAGCCAAGTGAATGAGAAGTGGGGCGGGCGGGGAGGCGGGAGG